TTTCATGTGTGAAGGATGAGAGGAGAGGTAGTGAACTAGAATGTTTTTACTACTTGGGTTGCGATACCGTATTGTTATATAGCTACTTTCTGAGAGCTTTATTTGGATGTTTAAGAATGGAAACCAGTTCTCGGCTAGTTCTTCTTGTGTAAATTTTATATACTCTGATTGTCGGTTTAATAGTTCAAAGCACTCATCCATCTGTTCTTGTGTGGAACAGACGATGAAGCAGTCGTCTATGTATCGACAGGTAGAGTAAGGCTCGGTGATCGAGAACTGGAGCTTCCACCTTAGACATGAAAACGATGACAAAACTTGGTGCTAAACGCTGTACCATGGCCAATCCTCTAATTTGTGCAAAATAGTTTCCAGACCACCTAAAGATTGAGCAACTAAGACACTGTTTTAAGAGAGTTATTAGTTGTGCAATCGACAGGCCGTACATTTTTATTTCCTTTTCGTGCTCTACGAGCAACTCGAGAATGGCTTGCATTGCGGAGTCATTCCACACTTTGGTATAAGGTGAAGTAACATCGAATGACTCCATTACATGCGTGCTGTTTGGTTGCGCGCGCCGTAGGTGGTCTAGAAATATTTTGGTATTAGGTAAATGGGTTGGAATGACTTAGCAACGGGGACAGGATAAGGTTTAGGAACCACGTTATTCTATCCGTTGGCCCGCCTATACAACTGATGGTAGGTCTAATTTTAAATGATGATGGGAAGGTTGAAATTCGTGAAAACACTCTTCTAGATACGCATAAGGTACAAAACCACAATGGCGACGATTTTGAAGTGACTTTGCGGACCCTAGCGCAGGGATCGAAAACATCAGCGCGCAAAACTCTCGAGGCGTTTTGGACAAATTTCAAAAATCCAAAGATGAACCGAAAAAACGAATGCCTCACTATCACGCGTGACCTGACGCCCTATTTCGAAATGATATTTTAACTCCCTAGGTGTGCCTTGCTCGCGACTCCACGTGAACAACGCTTGGGCCAGTCCCACTCATAATATCACGGTGAGTAGACTTTCTGCCCAGTATGGCGTTTGTTTAAAAGTTCGATCTTAGTTAATACTTTATCCTTTTTTTTCCTTCGAACAATTAAAGTATTCTTATATAAAATACGTCCAGACTCTGAGGAAGGCGAATGGCCGAAACGTCAACAATCGACCAATAACACCAACAGCAACGACAACGACAAGACCTATACCAACCTCGCATCAGCTAAAGAAGATCAGTTTATAAGACCACATAAATAAAAATTTTCGCAAAAAATGTATGAGATCCATTTTGGTCTGAGCATGTATCATAGAGTCACCCATAATAGTATAGCACTTACAATAGTAAAATCGATGTGCTGCGATATTTTCCACGTATTAAAACCCGTCCCTTATATTGTTTCTTGATCTTTTTTTGAAATGTTGTTGTTCATTATTCCGATTAGCTCGTGGTATCGTTCTTAGCTCATAAAGTTGCTTACTTGAATATTTGGATGGCCCATCCGCACTGGTTGTGTGGGCCCAGCATAATCTCCACTTTTTTCTCTCGGAGTTTTGCTGGTTTAGCCACTGTGGTCCCCAGAGTCCCGAGGTCAGCCAAGCCAAAGTCTGTCCCAGGTCGTCACCACCACTGGCGGTCGCTGCCCTTGTGGATCAGAGGGGAGATTTGCCACCAGGCGACTAATTTCATACCAGGACGGTGGCGAATCCTGGTATTGGTTTACTCTTCGCTAGGCTTCCTGGCAGAAAACCGGACTCCTTCTCAGTTTATGAGGCCCTGCTGTGGGGATGAATTCATCCACTGTACATCGCAACCCGATACCCAGGAACACCTTCTAGCCACGATGAGGTGGTAAACCATTGGGAGGCATAGCTGATAAACAGCATTTGAATCGATTTTAGTTAAATCGGGGTGATGGGGTTGTTGTTAAAACAGAGAAAACACGAGAAATTGAAGGAGTTCGTGTTTTTTCCTTTTCTTTTGAAAGGAAGACGTTCAGAAGATAGTAATTGAAGGATTCGTTCTATCCAACTTTTGTGTTAAGTCGTTAAGTTAGTCGATTACATTTGGTTCTGTCACATATTGTAAGCAATCGTAAATTAGCGAAATCAGCTGTGATTATTTTTTGAGACTACAGATGGCTGAGAATCTTTAATTTAAATTGTTGTTGGTTTAAAAAGTTAAAAAAAGTAACGTAGTTAACACTTCTTTTCATGGTAACACTGACTAATCTTAACTAATCTTTCCCTTATTTGAGAACTAATAACTGGTCTTGTGCAATTTTTATCATTCACTCAGAACTTCATGAGGAACTCATATGATGTTTAAGGCAGTTGGTAAGTGGATGTAATCGAATGGCTAGCAGCGGGACTTTCAACTGGAACGCAAATCGTTCAGCAATACCGTACAATGAAAATGTGGATTGTCAGTGTACGGAACACCTTGTGTGGAATTGTACTGCGGTAGGTAAATATAGGAGACATAAAGGATAAAGCTGTCGCCATTGATCTGCACCAGGGTCTGAGGGTGCACCATGCATTCGAGTTCATTGAACATCGTTTGGAGGTGATTGAATGCATATCTGGCCTTTATTATGACTTGCGGTGGCGTACCGATGTATCGATCTAGTGCTGCTATCATCCGAGCCGAAACATTTTATAGTTGTATGTATTCTTTCTTGATAAGCTTGCACGAGGTTGATAAATATATTTATTTTCGGCTAACGTTTCGACGTCTTCGTCTTCCTCAGAGCCGGTGATCCGAATCTTCGATTCGAGAAGATGGCTCACTGAGGAAGATTTGGCTCGACACGAAGGCGAAGACGCAACGTCGAGGCGAACAACAAGCATGGACCATCGACTCTGATCACCGGCTCTGAGGAAGACGAAGACGTCGAAACGTTAGCCGAAAATAAATGTATTTATCAACCTCGTGCAAGCTTATCAAGAAAGAATACATATTGATTTGTCACACCGAGGTTTAGGGAAGGTCGGTTTCGAAATAGTCTCATAACAGTTCAGTATCCAAGAATACCTATCAGCCGTGCTGAAATAGTAAATCATTGGTGAGTCCTTGACACAAAGTGTGGCATGTTTCGTAGTAGGTAAAACTTGATCCTGAGGGTTCGAAAGCCAAGTCCTGCCCCCTCCTTCTCCTCCTCCTCCCTCTCCCCTACTTCTAGGGTCACTAAGTCACTATGAGATTTGTCTCTGAGGATAAAAACACCGGCTTAGTACATGGTCAGACCCACAGAAGTCACTCTAGAGGCCGAACACGCATTCAATCGCCTATAGGACATATAATTTCCGAACCTATCCTATCCATATATACATGTGTATAACATATATGCACATTTATATCCGTATTCTTTCATCCTTTATACGCCGTTGCATTCACGTGGACACACAACTCGGTATATTCTGTATTTTATTAGAAATGTATGAATATCAAAATACGTACAAAATGCGTCAGTATAGAGATTCATTTATCCACACAGGATTTACAGGCAGTTAACGTGTTGTGGCTCACTTTTATTTACTGTTGAAAACCAGAGATTGGAAAGGTAAAAGAAAACCAAACTAAGTTTTCCTACGAACACGGTGCTGGTTTGATCGCACTTCGAGCTCACCAAACTTCTCATCCCAGTGGTTAGTATCGGGCTTGTGCGGGAAATCGCTCTCTGCAATCCAACTGGGAACGCTCAGGCCCAGCTATCTCAGCAGTACAGGGAAAATCAACTCGACTAGCATTCTGCAATATTGAACATGAAACGAAAATCCTCAAGCGGAAGTTGAAGCCACACGTAAAAATAGAAAAATCTTCGTGAATGATAGATGCGAGGAAGCAAATTGAATGTAAGAGGTGCTAGGATTCGCGCATTAGATGTGAAAAACGGGTCGTTTGAAATGAAATAAAAATTTAAAAAGTGTTTTGGATCTGTTCGAAACTTGTGCCACCTTCAAGAATGCACGAGGTGGTTTTTTCGTCTCCGCCGAATGTGGAAATTGAGTCTATCTTTGTTCTTCTTTCTCTTGATCCTGTTGATAAACACTGTTTTAGGAAGACTATCCATTTGGGCGGATCCCGAATTTAACGCTGAATACAACTATGATATTATGGGACATGTCGTACAGGAATATCTCAGAGATGAGAATGGCCTCTCGATGGACACTCAATGGAACCACCGACCTACTTCCTGTGTAAGTTCGATGAACAATGAACAACATTTATCTATTCGTCAAGTTCTGAGGAAGTAGGGTCTTATTTCATACATCAAAATTAGGACTTTTATTGGAGCCCCGAAGTATCCATACCAGGGTTTTCCAATATAAGCCACCATTGCAGTAGCCGACCTTATAGGTCGGAGAATTTCTTCCACAGCGGCGACGTTATGTTGAACCAAGATTTATTGGCAAGTGAGATTCTCTTTTTCACTGTTTCATATCAATATCGAATTTCTCAGCTTGGACAACTCTCCCAACTCTGTATAAACTCCATTGCTTTCCATCACAACTCGACACACTCGAGTAGAATTCGTTGATGATCTCTAAAACACTATGATCTACTACTGTATCTCGCTCGTCGGCCGTAAAGCGATTATTTCAAATATGTAGATGACCAACTCCTGGCAGAGCATTAAAATGACCTTCCCGAAATCAGTAATTTTAGTTAGTACTGCTGCTCATATTAAGGTTTTTTCTAACTGTTTCTTTGTAGAATTTCTCAAGCACGTACATAAAGCAAAAACGTAGAGATTACGAGTTACGGCGAATTTGTAACTTCGTTTCTTGAACTTTCCACTTTCCTTCCTTTCTGTTGAAGGTAGCCCTAAACGCATGTAGTGCTTTTGTAAAACAACGATGTTGTTGATACAAAACTTCGGTTGATGATTTCACAACTGTACTCTGCCTCGAGACACCACCCCAACGTCAAGGCGAGGCTTTCCGAATATGCGAGTTGCCGTAGTAATCATATTCAAAACAATCGATTGTTGCTAATGTTGGCCGTTGGGCTGAAGTTCTTTATGCCACGGGTGAGTCCTGACGTTGAAGTCCAAGGTATGATAATGACTCTATGATAGGTACGATCTGCAGAACTTTTCCGACTCCTTATGAAATCTCTCGATCATCGTTTTTCTGCGTTATTGTATGTGCTGTGCAGATTATCCATTGTTTCACATCATTTCGAACTGAACCCTCCGATTGGGCACGTTAGTTGCTCGAAGGATCACAACAACGTCTAGTTCACCAAGACACAGACTTTTTCAACTTCCCTGCTGCCACATGTTCTGGAGACAGTTCTCCAATATTGTAGCAGCGTTAACCATGTGATCTCATCTCGTCTGATTACAAGTTTAGTGTAATTTCTTTCTTTCTTTTTAACTTTCTTCGCAAGATTTCATGTCAGGCTTCTCATATGCGTCGTAAATGTAGACCACCACTACAGTCCTTCCAGATTTTGCTAGCCTACTTTGAACTTTGAGCCCACCTTCTACGCGTTTCTGATTCACTTGGTTGAGGGTTCCTAGCCGGCTCAAAATACAAGTGCAGTTTATAATTAAATTTCTGTTCATGAATCTATTCCAGTTTGGGTGGTTTATCCTTGGGACACACGAGCATCAGAGCAAGAACTCCACGTCAAATCGCATCAGAGATCAAAGGATGGCAGCATTTAGTTACAGGTACTTATTTCTTAATGTTTCTTTGTTGAATAATATAAATTTTTATTTTGCTTTAGGTGTATACCATTCTGCTATTGCTTTAAATGTAAATGTGACAAAGTCTGATGCTCCGTCTGTCTATGATCCTTTTCTGAAAAACATGACCACACTGGATTTTATCGCGGGCATTGTTAAGTCGATGGAAACAGAAGACAATATTAAGGTAACTTTTAGAAAGCCAGTTAGCTCGTTATTTATTTCTTTCGTTTGCTTTGCCACGGCTATAAAGAATTTTAAAATTTTATTCACATGTCGTTCATATGACGACACTTGTGGCGCAGTGGTCGGAGGCGGCTTGCGATACGCGTGGGATTGATGCCTGCACCCTTTGGCCCACCAAGCCCTGCATCCCTCCGTGGTCGGTAAATTGGCACCAAACTTGCCTGGGAGGATATTAGCACTGGCTCGATACATTGGTAGGCCATCGCGAGTCATTGTGAAGGCCAGATATGCATTCGATAATTAATGAAGTCGAATGCATAGCGCATCCCTGAGGGACTGATAAACACCTAGACCTTTGTCCTTTTTATTCCTTTTTATCGTTCATATTCGCTTTGCAGAAATTATAGAGTCGCACTAATTTCAGTTAGTAGTAGACATGAATGAATCAGTGTTGTGAATTATGCGAAGGGATGGATTGCAGTAAAGAAAAATGACAACTTTTAGACCGGTAATCGCGGAAATATAGAATTCATTTTCAGGCATGGTTTAATAATAAACTATACACCTCACTTCCAATATTCATTGGTTTTTTGAGTAACGCGTTGCTCAGAGTTGAATCGAAAGGCTTAGGTATGATTTAAATTTCTTTTTTGAATCAGCTAGTATTCCATACGAAAATTTTTAGATCCTAACAATCTCGGTATCATCACCATTAATCATCCGATGAATCAGACAGTACGTAGCAGCTTTAACTCTGAAGGAAGGTCAGTCCCAGATGCTGGGTAGTAAATAGCAGCGTCGATAGTGATAATCGATGACAGTGATATTAGATAGTGTATAATGCCTATTTACTTGGATGGTTGTCTTCACTGGTTTTGCGGATCCCAGCATAATTTGCAATTTTTTGGATTTTTGCTGGTTTAGTCATTGTCGTTCTCTGGAGTCCCGAGGTCACCCAGGCCAAAGGCTACCCCAGGTCGTCACCACCATAAGCAGCCGCCGCCTTTGTGGATCAGAGAGAGTTTTTCCACCATGCGACTAGTTTGATATCAAGGCGATGGTGGATCCTGGTATTGGTTTACTCTTTGCTGAGCTTCCTGATGGAAGCATTGGACTCCTTCTCAGTTTGGGAGACCCAGCTGGGTGAGTGAATCCCCTGTACGTTGCAGCGCGACACCCAGGAACACCTCACACCCACGATGAGACGGTAAACCACTGGGAGGCTAATATATAGTAGTAATAGTAATATCATAGAGTAATTATTTTATAATAAGTGATAGTAATGGTGATAGTCGTGGTAATAACCTCAACAGGTGGTTGGCATGTCTTCTTACGTGTTCTTTTAGTGGCGAATGCCTCTGACCATCCTTTTTCGTTGTGAATTATCTCTTCTATGTATTTCAAATGCTTTTTCTATTTTTCGCATATTATCTTAGAGCTATTGAAATATTAGTGTGAAAGAACTTCATACATACTTCTCTTACATGGCACTGAATACAAGTTTCTTAGTGTTAGAGATTTCAGCAAGAAACTGATAGTTTTTCGTATCGTGCTGATTATGTTGGTGTTGTGTGTAATTCCTGCCGGATTTACGGTTTTCCTTGTTGAAGGTTAGTTAGAAGGTGATGCAAATTGGATTTAGATAGTGTAGACGTTATATTCCGAGGTTTGTTTCCACTCAGATCGTGTCTGCGATGCGTTTCATCTGCAACTAGTCAGTGGTCTATCGAGATTCACATATTGGATAACTGGTTATGCTTTTGATATGGTGAGCTGTTACATCACAGTTTTTATAGTATCGACTCCTTCTTATTGATGGACCTTGCACTTCAGCCGTGCATCTGCATGCCGAATCACTATATACAACAGAAACCTAACTTTTTGTATGGTTATCCGTGCTGGGAAGGAATTTCAACTTTAGAGGTTTAACAGGAACTAAGCCACCATGCCTAGGGCCTTTCGTCACACTACATCGTTTGTTAGGTCTTAGTCAAAAGATATATTATATCTGAAATGAACTACTTGTTATGAATCATATCACCTGAGCATCACCGTCACCCAAGCATATGTGTGTGGTTCTTCTAAATTAAAATATTCTGCTCCAGGCATTATTGCTGTGAGTGAAGATTTAGCTTGTAAGTAGATTCAAATTTCAAAAAATCTTATGTTTGTTTTTCGTATTTATGTTCAAGCTTAATAGTAAACGCAAGCGTCCTTTACTTAATGTGCTTAGTAGGGCGCGTTGTATCTACTATTATGGCTTCACGATAATTTGAACTCATTTATATCACAGCCTTGTGTTTAGAGTGTTTATACCATTTCGATAATAGCCATACTTATGGTATATGTGATTTTTGGAGTGCAAGATTTCGCGTACAGCTTCGGATCGTTGAGTGGCTTCTTCATAGTTTTTCTCTTTTACGGGTTCGTTTCTTATCATCATTAAAGATTTTTCAACTAATACTGATTAAAAGGACCGGATTATTGACCATAGATTCATCCATTTGGGATGAAGCATGCATTGTACTCCACTAAACATCATAGAGCTAATTGAACCCATATTTTGCCTTAAAAATGAATTGTGGACTTGCCATTGTGTTGAATCACAGCATTTTTATTCTCCAAGTCAAATATAGTAATAATTTATTTGCCGACCCTGGAAGGATGGATGGTTTCGTTTATCCGGGGCTTAGATCGAAACCCGTTATAACTTCCGCCACCGACTTTCTATTCTTTGTAATATCTATGCTTTCATATTCTTGTAGTTAAAACATTTGGGTTGTTCCATCAGTTCACATACAGTCCGATGAGAAAAAAACGCTTAAGGAAGTCACATTTTTGGCGATGGCTACTAAAGAGAAAGTTGAGTCGTGTTTGCGTAGACTTATGGTTCTCTACATTTTCTATTTTATTTGATAAAGCTTGCACGAGCTGCTATGTTTTTGTATAAAACTGAAAGACGCAATAATTTTCTATCGAGTATGAGTCGTATATGCCTTTTGTCAGTATCAAAGTCTTAAAATATAAATCGTGCTGAATGCATTATGCGAATATATCGAAATCGCTTAAGATATCCTAAAATGTTAATAACTGCGCGATGTCGATTTGCATGTGAGCAGAAGCTTCCCCTCCCCCTCCCCTTGTTAGAAATACAATTATTTGAAGTTCCCATTCATTCGAATCGTCTTCTGTGTCCTGCAGACTGTGCGCTGTTCTTTGGGCGTACGTCTTTCAACGACGATTTCAAGTACCTGCGTTGTCATTTGTGCTGATATCTGTTGGCACATTTTTCACTGGAGTTGTAGCCGTACTTACTGTGGTGATCATTGAGCAACTCATGCAGAAGGTGACCCTTCTTTATGGAATATTTTTCTTAATAATTTTGCGTGCTTAGGCCTTCCTTTTCTTTCAGGACCAAACGTTAGAGACCTCGCATGCGATCTGCTCGACCTTATTCCTGGTTCTTCCACAGTACAACTTAGGAATGGCAATCTTTCGCGGAAGTTTTGTCTTTCGACTTGTAGAGATTGGCGAAAATTTTCTCCGTAAGTGTTGGTTATTAGCGTATCTTAATGGAACCATCAAGTATAATTACGAGCAGCAGTCTGTCTCGATGTTTGGGAATATTTAAAACAATGGGACCAGTTATAAATGGGATAAGCTAATGGTGAGTTTTTTACTTGAAGTGACCGGATTTTCATTCTTTAGGAGAATTGAATCGCCTAGATCTTTTGTCATCGTTGCCTATTCCATCGCTTTTCGAATGGTCTTTGATGGGAATGCATTGTGCCTGCTTGATTATCCACATTGCTATCGCCGCCCTTACACTTTTTATCCTTGAAAGAGAACCGTTCGGATTTTTAAGGTAGTGCTTGTGAGGTGTCTTTCAATGCTGTACGTGAAAATATCTCTACATTTTGAAGGAAAACAGGAATTCATAAGAATCATTCTGTAACAATGCTTGTTATTTGATGTGCTACGAATATATTTTCCAAAAAAGGAGCATTGAGTTGAAAGAAAGAAACTAAAAATAACAACTCAATTTAATGATGAACAAGAGAGTCGGCAGCGCAGTGGTAGTGAACCGCTTCTTACGTAGAGAGCCGAACACACGTAGGCGATCGTTTGCTCCGGCCCCATTAAGCCTCTCATCTCTCCGGGGTCGGGAAATTGGTGCCAGATCTCCGAGGGACAAGCTCACTTTCAGCAATCCAGCTGGCGACGGTCTAGCTGAGCTGTCCGAGAACCTCAGGGGCATCGAAACTACCAAGATTCAACGGCAATCGTAACGGAGATGAAAATCCTCAAGCAGTGGTTGAAACCCCCGCACAGGTTGGAAGACTTCCGTGAATGTTGGATGCGAGAAAGCGATTCGAATGAAAGAAGTGCTGAGATTATGTGATGATGGTTCATGTAATAAAAAATATGGGCCAAATCTTTCAATTAATCGTTGATACGAGCTCTCCGACAACACTTATTGTGCTGATCCCAGTAAGTCTTCATTCGATTCGTTTCCTCACATCCATCGTTTTTAAAGATTTTCCTTTTTGGTTATCAATTCAACTACAACTTGTCTTTATCTTCTTCACAAATGTCGTTGAATGATGATCGAGTGGATTCTGCCTTGAATGTTGGCTAAGGCGTTTCCAGATCTCCAGCAAAAGATCGTCACCCGTTGCGAATTGATGTGAGAGCTCCTCCAAAATAAGACTTTTGGTACCCACTTGCCAACCCAATAGGGGAGGGGATAGTTAATTGACGGGTTCGAACAAGGGCCTCGTGCGTATTGGGCAGCATGAACCTTACGCCTGCCACTTTTAGTTTCTAGATTCACATGTCATGAATTTTTAAGCATAACCTTCTAATTTTATCATTTTGATTGCACCTTTAATTTGCTACTCTTGCCGTTGTATTCACTTAGCGTTGTATTTATATCGACAACTGTGAATAATATATGTCTTGATGAAAAGATGTAAGTAGTTATGTAGTTTATTTAGGAATTAGTCAGATTGTCAGCAGAATTCAGTAAAAAATCAAATAGCGAAAAAACTTCTGTTTAGGAGACGGGAGAAAAGATATACGAGACGGCTGTTAGCTAGTGTTGGAGATTCTTCGGATGATGACGTTATCGCCGAAAGAAAGCGAGTGAACGAGATCGAAAATTTTAGTGAAAATCCATTGATTGTGAAAGATCTGGCAAAGGTATGCAAAATCTCTACTTCACTGCTATTTTTTGAATTTATGTTTCCCATAACGAAGTGCCACGTGTTAAACCAAAATCGTAGAGAAAAACCTTTTGGTGAAGTTTTTTCTTCACAACGACCCAAAAGAGTAGGAAAACCTTAGCATTAGAAAAGGACTCAGTTATTGTTGGCCGTTTTTTTCTTCTATTCGTTGTACTGGTCAATGATATCAAGTGAAGAAGTAGTACTGACAGTATTGTCATCTAAGTCAATAGTCCTCGTATATAATGCTGAGATATTTGCAAAACTCCGGGCCGCAAGTGTATGCGGTGGGGAACGGACGCGCGCTATTGTCCTTTCCGGGGAGTAGCGCACTTCACCACCACACCATCCGGGTCCTTCGTTTGCTTGTCTCTCAGCCAGTTCTATTGATCTTTTTGCCATGATTATAACTAAGCCTCAGCAAAAAAACCTTAACTGGGTTCAATGCCGATTTGGGCTCCCCAGATCAATTCCGTTGACGGGTGATTGCTGATGGCAAAAAGATCAATAGAACTAGCTGAGAGACAGGCAAAACGAAGCACCCGGATGGTGTGGTGGTGAAGTGCGCCACTCCCCGGAAAGGACAATAGCGCTCGGTCGTTCCCTACCGCATACACAAGCGGTCCGGAGTTTTGCAAATATCTCGGCATCATATACGAGTCACATTTCGCAACATATTCTGCCATTAAAAAGAAAAAGGCAGTTAATACAAGGGTTAAGTCAATAGTCTTTTTAATTAATGAGACGATCATTTAGGTCTACCGGAAAAGATCGCCACTGATTGACTGCCAATTCTAATAACATTTTTCAGGCTTATTCCAAAAAAAATCTCGCTGTACGCAATGTAACATTTGCACTAGATAAAGGCGAATGTTTCGGTCTACTAGGTCTAAACGGTGCTGGAAAAACTACAACGTTTTCTATCCTAACACAGAAAATCAGACCTGGAAGTGGATCAGTGCTGATCCACGGTAGAAACTGGATTTGTACTTCAGGATCGTCAAGCAGGTTGGTTGTAAAAGATGGTTTGTAAACACTTGTTTAACACTAATTACATAGTAACAGATTTTATTCCTTCGAGATATCATTCAGTATATCATCTGTATGGCATACTATTTCTTACAGTTTGCAAGCTTACAACTGATATTTATACACCCAAGAATCTTATTTTCTCTTAATAATCGCCTATTTATTATGGGCAGCTATGATTACTGTAGCATAGATCGTCACGTTTTTAGTCCACAAATAGTCTATTAATTAGGGAAATTGAAGTCAATGGGTTGATGCGTATGATTTTTTTATGTAACAGGGCTGTCCATTTTTTACTTCAATAGAAGCAAATACTGTCTTTGTGTTTTATCTGGTGCTTCGCAACGAAATCGCCAATTATGGCAGTGTTGTTAAGTGTAACAAAGCCATCGCTTTCTGGATGGCTGCTAACCTCGTTGGAAATCTGTTTCTCATGTTTAGAGATTAAGGGTTGTGACAAAGTAGCTAATAACGGCACTCTCATTTCGTTACCTATTGACATTATACACTATTTCATTTACTAGTCTAGTAATGTCCAGTTGAGAACTGCTGTGTGAGCTCGTGTTCTATTAAGTCCGGTGACTGGTGAACGTTCTGCGTATGATCATGTTGGCTACTGCCCTCAGTTTGACGCAATGAATATGAAACTGACGACAAAAGAAAACATCGAACTGTTCGCCAGGATTCGTGGTATTCCTGAAGAGCACATTCGTCCGGTACGTCCAACGATATCCATATATTTGACGGATACCAGATATCACGAAGGTTCTGACTAGTTAACGGATTTTTCAGCTTGTTGATCGTCTTTTGGTGTCTCTCCATCTGCAATCGTACGCTTCCACCGTCACTTCTGCATTGTCTGGTGGTAACAGAAGGAAACTGTCAGTTGCGACTGCATTGATCAGTCATCCTTCACTTGTTTTGCTTGTAAGTTGTACATAAGTTCGATAAATGGAAATACTGTTAGAATAAAATGTGGAATTTTCATGAGACGTTTCCTGTGATAAGGTATTGGTTATCATTGATACGTAGAAGTGGACATGTAGTTTAGCATATCTGTTAAAGTCCTTTTGAATACAATCTTATAAAAAGGCGCTCGTGGGAAGAAATCATCATCATCATCATCACTAACAGATCCGATAATATTGCATCTTTCATGACTAATCCTGATTCTTCCTAGGATGAACCTTCTGCTGGAATGGACCCTAATTCTCAACAGTTTTTATGGAGAGTTATTGGTCATCTAAGAAAATCAGGGAAAGCTGTGGTATGTTCCAACTTTATTCTGCATACGCAGATCTCATTGATAGTTTAAGCTGAGTGGGCCGTAATTTCCGTAAAATGCCCTGAGAACGTTATTTTTTACATTACTGCAATCAGCTATTGCAACTGGTCTATTGTAAGACGTAATTTCAAAAACGTTCAGGTAATCACTTCTCACTCTATGGAAGAATGTGAAGCATTATGTACGAGAATAGCCATCATGGATCGTGGCCAAATTCGTTGCATTGGTAGCAAGCAGCACTTGAAGAACAAGTATGATGCGATTTCTGTTCTTTCTTTTTATTTCATACAGTATTTCATAGATGCTTAATGCTTACAAGGAGATTCGTTGCCGTGATGTTCACGGACCAATCAATAAAAGCTGGATAAGCAAATAATAAGCAAAATGTCAATTACCGCCCTCTTAGTGATTCAAGTGAAAATGGGATGACGAGAGCTTTTCTTTTATGGTTTATAAAATTTTATTTTATTTTATTTAGTGCCAATTGTGTTGGTCAGTTTAGATTTGGCGAAGGCCATTCATTGACGGTAAAGATGCTATGTCAAAACGATGCTCAGTTAGCAGCTGAATTTGTACTTGCGCATCTGAAGGGTGCCAAAATTGAGTCCATCCACTGTTCAACTATTTTCCTACACGTCAACCGAGATGTCTCAACCATCTCAGGAATCTATAGAGTAGTTAATGAGGTAAGTTCTCGTGCTCGCTTGCATTCGTTGTGGTCCAAATGTTCTAGGGAACTGATAGCAATAGGTAAGCAATTCGTTAGTTTTTGCTTATTTCATTTAGTTAACAGACATGTTTAACTCAAACTTCTATGTTTTTGGTTTTCCGTGGAAATGCAAACATTAGATGACTCGTCACATGTTTAGTTTCACTGCATAATTGGTTTTCTTTATGTAGTGTTTGTTATATTGATTCCAATTATTTATATTATTTACTATATTATTCATCAATTACATTGCAGTTTGTTTTAGTTGAAGAAGGAGTTTCCCGTTGAGGATTTTTCTCTGTCGCAGTCAACACTGGCCGAAGTGTTTCATTCACTTGCTACGAATAACTCAACTCCTACATCATCTGGTCAAACCATTTTAACAAACGAAACCGATCTCATTGACTAGCTATCGTCGGCTTTTAAGCAGGACACGCGTCGAGATTAACTTTAGGAATGTGATAGAATTTTAAAAATCTGTTCGGAATATACGGAAAACAGAGAAAGTGTTATGCATTAATAATGTGTTTATGGGATGTTCGCTAATTTTTAATGTGTAGGTTATTTATATAATTGTCATTGTACGGGTTTCACTTCGTGATGTCTACTTATTTCAATGAAAACTTATGAGAAAAAATTGGATTAAATAGTTTGAAAACTTCTGTTTGAATCCTTCTTCTCTCAAAATTGCTGGGTTGTTGATAACAATTTTGGGTTTAGATTAGTCACAAGTCGCAGCTAAGACCGGAAATACATTTATTCCAGTAATTGTTAAGGAATCTGTTGAATCTTTCCCGACAAGATTTATGTTACAGTAGACCGTTTTCAATCATGTGGCTTATGATTTCATCAAAGGCTACCTTGCTAGAATAACTAGCAATGGGTAACGCAGTTGTTAGCGGAATATAGGCCTTCGAGTTAGTTATCGACACCGAATAACCACTAGCTTTAAACAGAATGCCCGACTTCGTGATAGGACGCCACGCGAGACTTTTCGTAGTTGACACAGGACAACAGCTTTCGACACTCAAACTTGGGATTAAATCTTTATATACATAAGGGCAAAAAACCACTACAATAGGAATAACGATGAAAGGAATGCTGGCGTAAGAATAAGGCAGTCAAGTCGAACTTAAGACTACCAAAAAGCACCTCCCAAGTCTCCAAAAAAGAGGCGGTGCTCGTCCGGGCGTGGCTACGTCCAAGCGAGGATCAAGGCCCGGGTCGCGGGGTCCATTCCCCAAGCATTGAGACGTACTCAGCAACATGCCCGGTGGTGTGACCGATGGTCACGTGATGCTGTGTTTAGTGGTGTTGTGGCAAAGGCCGTCTCCATCGACCCATTGAATGTCTGCTAGGTAGATAGAGAATTTTGATAGAGGAATTCTCTGTACGAAGTTCCTTAGGATGGGATCAAAATATTTACGTACTACGACATTTGCCAGGCAACTTGAGGAGCACTAGATCTGATCCTTACTACAGAAACATGCAGTAATAGAAAGAAATAGTAACTATTACGGGGAAAGTTGCTCTAATGGGTTCTGTTCCGTCTAAGCATCCGTTCAGCATAATAACTTTCTTCTAGGGTTTTCGGCAAAACTCTAACCATTGGGTCGATGATCTTGCTCCAGTTCGTTTGATATCGCGAGGAATGCACTCGCTAACGGCCCTTGTCCGTCGGTTGTTGTTCATGCGAATTACGAGTCCGGCGCACCTTATCTTCAACTGTTTGGCGTACAGAACGGCGTCTTCGATTTTTGATCATTGACGCAGATAGGACCTTCGGATCCCATCCCTTACTGGTGTGGAACAGGATACTCCTAGCATCGTCCTTTCGACTGCGCGTTCGATAACACTGAGTGATCTTTTTTTCCTTCGTATTTTTGTTGAGCAAACGCGAAGTGTTATTATTCTTTCAGTAACTGCCACGACCGACTTTCTATTAACCTCGGCATTGATCAAGT